GTTTGTGACGTGCAACCTCACGCCCTGTGCTGTCTCTGTCTCTTATACACATCTAGATGTGTATAAGAGACAGGAGAGAGAGAGAGAGAGAGAGAGAGAGAGAGAGAGAGATTTTGGCCTCCTCTTTCTACCACTTGCCGATTGTGAAAACGGTGTCCCTGATAGATACACTCGCCCGTTTCCACGTCCTTTTTTTTTTTTCTTTATCTTTTTGAACTCGTTTCCACATTCGGCGAGATTGTAACGAAGCCCCGAAGGGAACTCGATTTGGCACTCGTGGAACTCCATGGCTGCGCGCGTGTGTCCTCTCTCACGTTGATCCCTCCCTCTCCTTTTCTTCCTCCTCCTCCTCCTCCTCTATCCGGGGCTCTTCTGATGCCTTCGTCCGGTTGTCTGCCCACAGACAGACGCGTGTGCTGGCAGGCGACACGTGGCTGCTTCGTGCGGTTCGAACAGTGTCACGCTTTTTTTTTTGAAGTCCACTCGTCATCCGCAAACGACACGTGGCTGCTTAATTGGCCGACTTCTGGCGGGGGGGGGACCACACTCACCTGCTGAATTGATTGCTTCAATCACGAATTCAACCCACTTTCCCGTCTTGGAAGGACTTAGGCCATCATCCCTGCATCACTACCGGTAGTCCCCAAATATCTCGAACTGCGCCAAAAAATATCAACGGCAAGTATCTTCTACTCGAAGTTGGCAAGATACACGCGCCAAAAAATATCAACGGCATACAACATGACTAAAAATGGATACTAAATCAACAACAAAAAAAACAAAAACAAAACAGGAAGTAGAAAGAACATGCACCGCCTACACCAGCATACACATGCACAGACCTCCTCCTCTCTCTCTCTCTCTCTCTCTCTCTCTCTCTCTCTCTCTCTCTCTCTCTCTCTCTCTCTCTCTCTCTCTCTCTCTCTCTCTCTTTTGGAGTGGGGACAGAAGGATATGATATCATAGCGTATACACAGCTGAATGCACACGGATCACAAACCGTCGCAGGCCTCTGACAGACCACGATGTATACACAAGTCTCAAGCAAAGTGCGCACTCATCACACACTCCCAGGCCTCTGAAGCATGCGCATGCATTGGGGCCAAGTTGGGGCAACAACTGCTGTGAAGTAAGAATACTAGCGAGGTTGAAACTTAGCCGCTATAAGAATACTAGCGAGGTTGAAACTTAGCCGCTATTGTTGTCGTTGTCGTGAAGACAGACGAGAGCCAGGAGTGTGTTGTTGCTGCGCAGAGCTGTCAATACTTGCTTTGCATCCTGTCTGTACTCGCGTAGGTGCTGTGAATTCCCGTGGGGGTCATGAAAAGCCTCGGCATTCGCCAGTTCCTTGAGCGTTCTCCCTATGCTCTCGTCAAAACGCCAAATCGACTGCAAAAAGTCTCTCAAACGTGGAGCAAAGCGCATGATGAAATCGTCCTGCTGCCCCGAGTACTCGTCACTCATACTCCGCCAATATCTTACGTAATCATCGGTTGTCCCATTATACCACTTGGATTGTTCCAAGTAGTCCTGAAGGCTCTTCATCCTGTAGTGATTGATGCGCGCTACGTCACCATCAACAGGTACGGTTTCTCCGCGCGTAGAGTAGAAAAGGTGGGCGTTCTCCACAGTGGACACCAAGCCGCCGCGGACAAAGCTCTTGCCATTGTACAGCTTCTGTTTGCGCGTCTTTGAAAAGACAGTATCTGTCGTGATGAGTGGCTGCCTCTCGGTGTAGCTCTGTATGACAAGTTCGGCCGGCCGCCTCAGCTTTCCCCCTGACCCGAACAGGGCATATGGTAAGAACACCCCAAACACACGATCATCGGCCCCGTATCTATCCAGCAGCCGTCCGAATTCACTCGGATCGTACGGCTTAACCTTCTCCTCCTCTGGAGACCCTTCCCCTCCGCCTCCTTCAGCTCCTTTACTCTCATGTTCTCCCTCCTCTCCTCCTCCTCCTCCTCCTCTACCCGCTTCTACATCGCGGTATTCCCCTGCTGCATTTCCCTTCACCCCGCTGCTTCCGTTGATTAGCGGTGCCCCTACCACCACAAACTCGTCTATGTCCATCACTCCCGTCCATCCATGTGTCATGTGCGATCGAAATCGGTAGAAGCAATCCGCATAAGCAGACTGATGCCGTCTGCGGCCCGTGTCTGGCCACCAAACGTACGTCACCATTCCCATGGCCACGAAAGGGCGCAGCACTGTAAGTAACTCCTCCTGGCTTTCGTTGTCGTAAAGGAAAAAGTGTTCCACCCCATGCAGGATGTGATAAGCAATCCACTCTCCGATGTGAATGCTTTGATCCCGCGTTTTCATGCAGATGGAAACGCCGTACTTCTTATGTTTGGGTGGCGGGAAGAGCACGAACGGCTCACAGAACTTCAACGAATACGCCGTATCGTTGTTATCTACGACGTTGATGCATCGACCTCCTAGACGATTGTGGCTCCATAGTGCGCCCGCCGCCGCCGCCGCCGTTGATGATGATGATGAGGATAAGGAAGAGGAGGAGGATAAGGAAGAGGAGGAGGAGGAGGAGGAGTAGGAGGAGAGGTCAAAAATCCCACCTTTGGATTTTGCCCCTTCATGATCATCGTGCTTCCTCTCTGTCATTGCCGGTGGAGTGCAGTGCATAATCCCGAATCGATCGCTATCAATCACGTCCAACTTCGTTCGTTCTTTCGTCGGCCACTCGCAGGACAGATTGCGCGCAGCAAACACCGACGCCTTATGCCCATCAAAAATGAGAGCTCTTACGGAAAGACTATTCGACTGCTGTTCTTGCCGGGTGTCATTCCCCCCCCCGCCCCCCCCATCAGCGTAACATGTGTAAGGGGCTCCTTTGCAATCCAGGGACAACCCCCTCTTTCGCCCAAGCAAGTACTTTTTCATGGTGGGGAACTTCTTCGCACGACTTTTGGCACCCTTGCGATGCCCTTCTGAGCGATGACCCCTCGGATTGCCATTACTCGTAGTAGTCAGGGTGCGGGAGGGGTAATCGGACGGACGAGATTGCACGAACAGGCCGTGATACATCACTCCATTCTCCCTGCGCGTAGACACTGCCGGCACCGTGCAGATGTGCCATTTCAGCCCGTCCTTCCCTCCACCATTGCCCCCGAGAACCGATGGAGGCATTTCCTGTCGAAAACGCGAATCTATGTCAAGAGTGATTGGCCATGACGATGACGATGACGATGGTGGCCTTGATTGGTCAGGAGAAGCGTCCCGCCCATTTTTCCGAAGAAGCATCGTCGGCCTCGAGTTCACGTGACGATGATGATGATGATGAAGAGGATGAGGAGGGGGAGGAGGGGGAGGAGGAGGAGGAAAGTCACGTGCTCCTGCGCTTGCTGGCATTGCCGCTCCCATCTCCTGAGGAGGGGAATCACCTGACATCTCTGCACGCGCCTCTCTCTCTGCATGATGAATTGCCTCCATCCGATGCAGAGAATACCACGCGACTCCCAGCACCAGCAGGAGCATCTGGATGCCCAACAACATGCGCATCACATTTGGCCTCGTCAGCAGCCACGTGGAGGCGGCGACATGGAGGGGGAGATGAGGAGGGGCCTCCGGGGGACGAGATGGCGTACTGCGCGCCGGGTGATTCAGGGAGGTTATGGATGGGGGAGTAGGGTTTCTCTTCAATGGAGACCGTGGAAGGGTAGTACCACCGAAATTGCCGAAAACCGCCTCCTTCATCTTGAAATAACCACAATAAATTACAGTCTGTATATATATATTTGTCCACCGTCTCCCTAGAGTACTTGCTCTTAATGATTTTCTCACCCACTTCGTACCTGATCGTTCGGTATAATATTTTATATATATATATAAAATATATAGTCAAACAGAGCTGCCCGGTAATATTATATTGTATCCAAGCTATAGCTACTGCATTGCATCGGGGTCATCTAACAACGAATGTCTGCGTTATGATGAGTTGTATAATTGATCGCGCAACCGAGTTATTCAGCAGTACAAGATGGTTAGTCTGCAGACAATGTCATCCTAATCGAACAGAATTGCAGCCTGATCGAACAGGAAGGGGAGTCGAGTACGTGAAGCACAATATGTATGTTCACATCAAATCATGAGTTATTCAAGTGTATAATCACAGGTAATCAGAAAGTAACTGACAAGTTTTGGAAAGGAGAGATGGGGAGGGAGAGAGGGTGATGGGTTCAGATTCTTCAGAAGAATCGACAGGTGCAAAGAGCTTAATCAAACGGCTGACTATCTGGTAATTAACGATGATTAGTTCTTTGATAGATCAACACTATGGCAGTGACTTCTTTGATGCTAGGTGATGTATAATTTCAACCTGCACAGGATTCTCAACATGAAATGCCACCTCGATCCCTCGCTCTCTCTCTCTCTCTCTCTCTCTCTCTCTCTCTCTCTCTCTCTCTCTCTCTCTCTCTCTCTCTCTCTCTCTGTGTGTGTGTGCGAAGAACAGCCTGAGTTAGCAGCGACCAGAATTTTCACCACATGTGAGCCCCAGACTTGTCTTTAAACTCAGGTGATAATGCTAGACATGTCGGTAGAACTGTAACCTACTATCAGTATGCTAGATAGGACTCACGATAGGACTCACGCCCACAAGGTAAGGTCAGGCCTGTGTCTCTCATCCAGCAACCCACCAAGTGCAGGCCCACACACCCTACGCCCGCCCACTGAGAGATGGAAAGAAACGCAGGGAGAGTGTGGATGGTTACAAAGACCCCTGTCAGTGATTGATATGAGAAGAAACAACCAGACAGGTTAAAAACCTAGTAGCTGGTAGAGCAATTACACAGCAAGAGTCGCGCATTGTCTGTCTGTACAAGGCCTGTGATTGATGAACGTGAATGTCATACTACTAATAGAAAAAAAACTGGATAATTTATTTGGCTTCGAATCTGAGTTAAGAAGTACCTAGCGTGACCTATCTAACGCCCCTCGCCTCCACTATATCCTGTTCTCCTTAGTATAACCTCAGTTCCAAGCACCTACTTTTTAATCCTCAGCCTCTACAACCCTCCATTTGCCATAGATCATCCCCTTCTTCTTCTTCTTTTTCTTCTTCTTCTTCTTCTTCTTCTTCTTCTTCTTCTTCTTCTTCTTCTCCTTCTTCTTCTTCTTCTTCTACGATGTTGAAACACCACCAACTCATTAAGAAGATGCAATTATGTGGGACGAAGAAGGAAGGAAGGAAGGAAGGAAGGAACGAAGGAAGGAACGAAGGAAGGAAGGAAGGAAGAATAAAGGAAGAATAAAGGAAGAAAACTGCCCTTTCAAGGACGAGGAGGAGGAGGAGGAGGAGGAGGAGAAAGGATGTGTATATTGCAAGCACACCGAGATTCCTCTGTGTGATACACTTCACAAGGCATTTTTTTCCTCCTGTAGACAGCCGGAGTAGAACTTAGAGAAGGAAGGAACCTTGTGCGCGTCCGCCTCTGACACGGCAGCTGGAAGGATCCGCCAGTTATTCTTTGTCCACCCCTCGTCTCTGTGCTGCTCCTCCTCCTCTGCCTCTGCCGCCGTTCGTCTGCCAATTGGTCCAGCCCAGCGCTCCCTCTGCCTCTCGATTTTGCCAATCACCCCCAGGAGCGCACGTCCCTCGCGCACGACCAAGCGGCATTTTCATAGCCCATTTTTTTTACTGATCGTCATTACCGAGGTAACCCGAAACGGGATCGCCACCGCTCTCTCTCCTTGTCCTCCCCTTTGTCGCATTCCGACTCCCTCTCATAGCGGAGGGGAGACTCTCTCCTCCTCTCTCTCCTCCTCCGCTTAGTACATACTCGCTGTGTTAACTTCGGCTGCAGAGATCGCTTGCTGCTTTTCGCCGTTGAAGCGAAACTGAGCACCTTAGGAGGCTTTTTACTTTTTTCCTCCCCTCTCTCTCTCTGCATTTCCTGTTTCCTCTTCTTCTTCTTCTTCTTCTCTCTCACGGAGTCTGGTCGTCCTCCGTCCTCTCTCGCTCGATCAGAAAAAGAAAAAAAAAACAAAGATCCGGATCAACAGTTCAACATTCGCTTTTCCACCTTCACCTGCTTCCCTTCCTCTTCCTCCTATCCTCCTCTTCCTCCTCCTCCTCCTCTGCTTTCTACTCTTTCTCGTCCGCCGTAGCCCTCTTCACCTGTTTCAATCTTCGCTACTGTGCACTGTGCATGCCTGCTTCTCCTATGCACCGTCTCCTGCCCTCTACCTTCTCTCAGCTTTGTCGTCCTTCCTTCCGCTGATGATGTCCATCCTCTTTTTTCCCGACTTCCTCTCCTCTGTGCTTCTTCTTGCTCCCTCCGCTCCCCCCCACCCTCTCTGCGCTATCGCTGTTAATTCGCACTTCGATGTGTCGAAAACGGCAAAAGAAACACAGCTGCTGCTCTATATCTTAACTAGAGAAATTACTCTTGATTGATTGATTGATTGGCCTCCGGCCCTTACCCCTCACATTTTTTCTGTACCTTGAACCTTACCCTTCTGTAGACTTCTCTACTGCTCAGACTCATGTGCCTCACCCCTACATGCCACCCTTAGGATCGGTCGCCGCCCTCTCACCCCCACATGCCACCCTTAGAATCGGTCGCCGCCCTCTCACCCCCACATGCCACCCTTGGAATCGGTCGCCGCCCTCTCACCCCCACGTTCCCTTAGAATCGGTCGCCCCCCGAGGGCGTCCCATAAAGACTAATGAGGCCCTGCTAAAGCTAACGTATTCGGCCCTCTTGCCCATCCTTTAAACTAATAAAAAACAGAAAAAGAAAGAAAAGAGAAAACGAAAAAGGCTGCTCTTTTACTCCCCTACTTCGCCGGTCCTCTTGCTCTGTCACTTTTGCACCACAGCCTGCCACCATATCCATGTCTACTATTCGTGTTCTTCCTCTGAGTCCTCTCTACCATTGCCTCCTCCCGCCAGCTCGGACAGACAATGACAATCACTTCACATCCGCACTGCGATTGCCGGCCGTCGACTGGACGTACGAGATTGATTTCCCTCCCCTTCTCCCCCTCCCCACACTCCTTGCTTCGTATTTCGCCCTCACTGCAAGCTTCCGTTATGCCGTACCCCTCCTCCCCCCCCCCCCCCCCTCTCTCTCTCTCTCTCTCTCACACACACACACACACACACACACACACACACGCACGCACACACACAGACACAGACACACACTTGCACGCGTTTTGCGGCTGCAGAGTGTATCCGACACTCCGCTCTCTTGCCCTCGCACCACCGCTACCCACAGATACTGCTCTCGACCTTGGCCGGCGGGCCACACCGTACACCAGGGGTTCTTTTTGCGTCCTTCTCTTCTTGTTCGTTTTTCCTCTTTTTTTTTTCTTTGTTTTGGACGTTTTTTCTTTTTTCCCGTTTTCACTAAAGACTTTTTTTTCCCCCGCCGTGTCCACTTGGCCGAGGATGGTCCCACCGTGGCCGTTGATCATCCTGCTGAGTCCCCCAAGTTGCTCACGAGCGCGGCCTTCGGTTTTCCGCCTTTTGGAAGAAGTTTGTAGATTTCGCATTTTTTCCTGTTCATTGTTTTCCCCTGTCGGTAGCCACTTACACGTGTGTACGACTCGGTCATCACGCACATGCGCACAAGGAAAAGTTGAGCCGGTAATAAAAAAAAAAAAAAAAAAAAAAAAAAAAAAAAGTTGAGCCGGTAATTGCGTCCTCGTATTGGCGCCACGTGTGGGCCGTAGCTCCAACATATTTGTTCAGTGACTGTTGTCTTGACTTAGGGCATAGCTTTACTAACCAGATGGGAAAATCATGGACAGATGCACTGGCATTGTTTTTTGCCTTGGCCATGTGGAGAGTAGTGGTGCGAGGGATATTCTTCTCTCAATTTCACCTCAGACTACCTACTAGCAGCCACGACTACTCCCAGTTGTTCCAAAAAAAAAAAAAAAAAAAAAAAACTACTCCTAATTGTAGGCACACGGGGAACCCCGTAGCAGCCAGAACCGTGTTCACGAGAGAACATGCGGCGACCTGCAGGTGGGCTATCTTTTCTTGGGCAGTTTTTTTTTTCTTTTTTTTTTTTTTCGGGTTTCTTGGGCAGTTTTCTACTTTCCTTCTTCTGTTTTTTTCTTAGCCTTCTTTCTTGGGCACAACTTTTTCTTTTTTTTGGATTGGACACAACTTTACTGATTACTCCTTGCAAAGTCGGGGGGGCCACCCCACATAAAGGCCGGGGGCTAGGTCCCACTTACACGAATTAAGAGATATTGACCGTAGATAGCACAGATCAACGGTCCGAATCTCGTAATCCGTGCAAGTGGGGCCTTGATCCTTACCCAGCGTCGTTTTTTACAGGACCCATGAGGGAGACAAGAGAGAGAGAGAGAGAGAGAGAGAGAGAGAGAGAGAGAGAGAGAGAGAGAGAGAAGGAAGCGGAGGGGATGGGGGTTGAGTGAGAGGTTTAAACTGCTTGCTCAGGACGCCCCTTCCACCCTACCTCAGGCCCTGCTCACACCAGCACTTACCTAAATGTATCTGAGTGCAATTACGGTCAAACCTGGACGAATCTGGCGGCAATCACGTCCAGAGCTTGGCCGAAAACGTCCTCGTGTGAGTATGCCCTCAGGGGCGGCGTCGCATTAGCGACGGGATAGGATTGAGAAGGGCTTGTGTGGCCGTCGAACGACCTACACAAGCCGTGCGATGGTGTGATCCCGCGGTCACGTTTCTTCACGTATCAATCTGCACATTGAGATCGGAGGGTGTAAACTTACACTTGGACTTTCCTCTAATTGCAGTCAGATGCATGCAGGCGAAGCTGCAATTTTATTTTATTTTATTTTTTATTTTATTTTATTTTTTTAATTAAAAAAAAGGCTAATTACCTGTCAAATCTGGACAGGACGACCTCAATTACCTGTCAAATCTGGACAGAACGGCCTTTCAGGCCTATTTTTTATTGTCATTATAGTATTACAGGGAATCCCGTAGCAGCCACATCCGTGCCCAAGCCTCCAACGAGGGAACATGCCGGAGCTGCACCCACCAGTAGCAGGTGCGATACCTGCTCGCTACAGCAGGTGGGCGATACCGCCCAGGGGTCAGCAGGTAGCATCAGGACCGAGCTTCTTCTATGGGCCAGTCACTGTGCCTCCCCTCACGTGGTGGTCCCCTCCCCCTATGAACATCAGCAGTCTCTGCTCAATGCCACTCGGGGGGACCAACGGCATATCTCTAGGTGGCGGGCGCCAAGCTTGCCCAGGAAGGTACATGAGGCCAATGGGGATTGAACCCAGAACCCAAGACCTCCTGAATGACACTTGCATACCTTACCAACTGAGATAGGCCGCTGGATTTTTTTATTTTTTTTTATTTTTTTTTAGCAGATCTGTGTTTGGCATTAAATGTCTTGAACGGAGGCGCGGGACCTCGCAATTCTACCTGGATTGCTGGAAAACAGGTCCAGCGTCCTTTCTTAGGTAGCAGACCGGAAACAGGACCAGTATCCTCATACCAAGAAGCTCAAGCCAAGAGATAGACATAGCACAATTGACAAATAGGGAAGCAGCAACCGCAGACATTGCCAAAGACCCATTCTGGCCTACTATTCTCAAAACATGGAGGAAATTACCTATACCAGATGCGAAGTTCCCGGAACGATGGGAAAAGATCAAACGCCAACCTCTCTTCAACAATACATGGATAAGAGATCACCATGGCACCACACTTCACTGTAATGACAACCCATGGAAAGGATGGATTAAGAAAGGAGTGACTAGGATCAAAGATATCTGGGACGATACTGCTAGGGATTGGGTTCACCATCACACTCTTAGGGATAAGCTCAAACATTGTCACCACGTTCAAAGCACCTTAGAAAGAGTTGTGGAACTGATCCCTATCGAATGGATCAGGGTGCTCAGGAGAGGGAAGAGGTTTCAGGAAAGTGATTGGGTGGCAATAAAGGAGAATCCAAGAATGGTAGGCAG